GGCTGTTTCAGGATAACTGTGAACAGCAGAGTCTCCATCCTTCTTTCTTTTTCCTTCCATCTTCCCCTCTTTTCTTTCCTTCTTCTCCTCTTTTCAAGTGCTCACCATGAAGACGCAATGAGAAAGTACCTCTGGACCCGCGCAGCGAAGGAATGTCCAGTTGATGGATGTTCTTCAACTAAGCCTTGGGCTTAGAGCGCAGATGGTCGCACAGGGACCACTTGCTGTACAAGAGCAACCCAAGGCGACTCTGACCGTCTGCGCTCTATGCCTACGCCTTCTTTGGACGAAAGAAGCGAAGGCCCTCTGGAAAGCCCCTCCCCCCCCCTCCCGACTACGTTTGCGCCGACGAGGAACAGTCATGTCGCTCTGTGGCTCACCCCAACTACCACTACCCCGTTTTTTGAGCATTAAATAAACAATAAAATAGGATGCAACAATGTAAACAACAACAACAAAAAGGAATTAAAAATTTAATAAACAAGCATTTAATTGCAAAAGGAATAAAATGAATGGGAAACCTTACCGTCGTTGAAATCCATATCCTTGAGAGAAAGAGCATATGCTTCACACTCTTTCCTACTGAAAGAGAAAATAATGCATGGCAACATATCACGCTCCTTGATTGTTCGTATAATCTTCACGACATTAGAATCCGCTGAAACAAGGCGACATGCATTATATTAGAATCCAACTACCAAGTTTTTAAAATAGGTAGATCTTGATCAATCAAACCCCTCACTTTTAGCCCCGCCTTTGCGACCTCGCTGCACGCCTCCAGCTGCTTTATCGCCCACATCTGCTAAACCACTCATTGCCTGCGTAAATTTATCTTCTCGAAATTGCCCCTGAAGAGAAAAGCATTTAAGTTCAATCAGTTTCCCAAAGAAAAACTTTCATAATCAGCTAAACTGACCTGAATGTTAACCACTTCGTATAATCCTTCACCTCCAACCGGGAATATGAAATGTTGAAGCGGTGTGGGGCGGTAGTCAGTATAAACAACATGTACAGGTTGCTTATGCAACAAACACACCCACTCTAAAAAATATGGTTACGTGCAAAGAATAATTGATGAAAGGTAATATAAATAATCACAGATAATGAATAATCATCGATTCTACCATAATAGAATTTATGGCCAAAGTGTACCAGAAGTAAACCGGAAACATAAACAGTAGTGTGACCCTCCTAGACTCCTCGTCGATAATAAACCCTAATTTTTGTCACCCACTACTTCTGCATTATCTCCCGATCTTACTCCACATTCCTAAAGTTTCCTTTTTCCGGGTTAAGAAGCTTCCATTGCGCAGGGTAGGGCTGAAATGGACGTCAATTGAATACATACACAATTTCAAATCACATTACAAATATCAATCACTAAATTACAAAAAAACATTCGAGACCTAAGGACTAAAATATTGACCCTCCCCGTTGCGATCAAATTTCCTCTACTGATTAAACTTGATCTAACAACAATGAATGCTAAAGCGTTGCGATACGCGATGTAACAGATTCAGTTGATCCAAACAGAAACTCGAATCTTGAATGAATCGCGGATCTGCAGCTCCGATGAAAAAAAAATAAGATGGAAAAAAATCAAATCAAAAAAATACATCACTAACGTCAAATTGCCAGCGCTTATGTGTATAATTAGCAAAGAATGCTGATTACATTATTGTAGAAAGATTATTGTCTCTCCACACAACTACTTCTGAAAATAAAATCTCCATACAAGAATTTTTCCATACCTACTGCTTAGGAAATGGCATTTGCCCTTCTGGCCATTTTTAGGATTCCCGTCAATAATCACCTTACAAGACCTGAAGACCCAAGTGCAAAAACGGAAGCTTCTGCTAATAAAGGAATCAACAGGTCTTCACAAGAAGCACTAGCAGAGAACGACAGGAATCAGCAAATGCCCCCACCAAGCCACATTGCGCCGATTCTCATGGAAAATTCGAAGAGGAGGAAATCCTAATACATTCAGTCGATTACCTTTATCTCTCATATAATGAATTTCATCGAATATAACCCATCCGACTTCTCTCATAACTTCAGCACCTCTGTACAGCATAGATCTCAAGATCTCTGTAGTCATAACAAGACAAGAAGCATCCGGATTCAGTGTCACATCTCCTACAAAACAGGCAGTTCTAATGATTAGGTGTCCTTGAACAACATCTGCTTCACAAATAAGAAAGTGTAGAGCCTAACCTGTCATGAGACCGACATCGCCGAACTCTTCCTCCAACTCTCGAAATTTTTGATTGGATAAGGCCTTTATAGGAGATGTGTAGATAACACGTTGCTTATCACGAAGACATTGCGCAATAGCATATCTAATATAAAACGAAATTACAAAGAAAACCGTTTGTCCTTGGAGATAGGGCTACTCGTCACTGTGCGCAGCTACAGCGTGCTAGTGCAAGGGAAGGATAAGGGCAGCGGGATACAGCAACGCTTGTCTTCCGATCGTCTGCCCTTCTAAAGGTAAGGCAAGGTAAAGAACACTATCTTCGTAGGAGGAACAGGTGAACAGGAGACTGTGCCGGCTTCACAGCTCCTTCCCACAACCAGAAACAGTAGCGCCCTTGCCAGACATTTCGTCATGGTCCTTCAGGTTTGAGCGCGATACAAAAGACAGTGACTGCTGAGGCACATCGGAAAGTACGAAGAGGCATGTGGTGAACTCCTTCCCAATAAAAAAGGTGCTCCGGAGGGGGTAAGCCAATCATGTGTGGAAAGAGGGATGGGCGCTATTCCGCTTGGGAGCGGCTTTTGAAGTTTCGCTAGTTTTTGCGATTACTCCCCATGCCCCGCTGAGACTTGTAGACTCCTGTAAAGTGTAACCGAAACGTGCTACAGTTTTACAGGAGTTCACAGGTCTCCACAGGATGCATCGGCTGAGAACCATGAGAACCACAAAATGCCCCCCCCCCCCGAATCCAAACTGCGCCTTGGAGTATGCGACTACTCACAAGGCCAGTGGCTATGAAAACTAGAAGCGCAAATGAGAGCAGTAAATCGTTAAAAAATACTGGTATAAAATCCGGTTAACCGCCGCTGATGC